GTAGAAGCAACTAGTAATTATCAACAAGATTCGATCAATATACGTACTCGGCCCCCCCCTATACTCGAATCCTGACTCCGCCACTTTATCTCCCAAACAATACATCCAAATGGAATTATTATTTTTTGCTTATTGAATCATGCATTGAACCTTAACTATTATGATTATTCTTATTTGGTTTTGTTGTCATGCAAAGTATGCCTTTTTGCATGATTATTTTGTGTTTATGTTGTTATTTATAGCATGCTCTTTTAATGTATATATTGTGAGGAGTGTAACATTTGTAGTTGTAAGGAGTGTAACATCAACACTAACTGCCAAGGCAAGTGGAATATTTAATCATGTCACCCTTATTTTGTTATGATGTAGTATGCCATGATTAAGGTGTGAGTATAGGACTATGTTGTTAATATGCTATGTTACAGAACCTAGTAGGATAGCCATATGTCTCAACCATGTCCTTGTCGCCGACGATTGTAGTTACATTGCTTAGCCATGCTATGATTATATATACATGCCAGGATCACATCAAACAAGAAGTTTTGTAGTTTACTTATGATGACTTAATACCAACTTAGAATGAATTATCTGGGTGGATTGGTATGATTAGTCACCGGAGTGAAGATTTTGGCGGGGACCACTGACGGAGCTACATCCGACAAATCTCGGGTAGGGGTCTCGAGGTAGTGATCTTGGCACGATGGTAATAGTATGAGGAAGAGACACAATATTTACCCAGGTTCAGACCCTCTCAAAGAGGTAACACCCTACGTCCTGCTTTGTTGTATTAATTATGGATGAGGTACATAGTACAGGTTGATCTACCTTGAGATCATATGTGTGAATAAATCTCTCTCTCGGATGTCTAGAATATGTTCTATCAACTAGCCTAGCCCTGGTTTATATAATATACCGAAGGCCTAGGATTTATAAGAGTCATCGTCTTGTGGAATCTTCCTTTTATATGTCATGGGCTACCCGAAGAGGCCCAACCATGAACCGCCACGAGGGTCCTCAGCCCGACCCTCCTGGCTGAGAGACAACATGATGAGTACCCTCTAGTCCAGGACACCAACAACCACCACCTAGGTTCAGAGAGATTGTACGGGTTCCATGTCTAGCAACTTCCATGTGTAACCGCGTTTCGAGACTCCTCTTCATGTTTGTGATCACATCCGAGACTCCGAACAACCTTCGGTACATCAAAACACATAACTCATAATACAAATCGTCATCGAATGTTAAGCGTGCGGACCCTACAGGTTCAATAACTATGTAGACATGACCGAGACATATCTCCGGTCAATAACCAATAGCGGAACCTGGATGCTCATATTGGCTCCTACATATTCTACGAAGATCTTTATCGGTCGAACTGCATAACAACATACATTGTTCCCTTTGTCATCGATATGTTACTTGCCCGACATTCGATCGTCGGTATCACCCCTAGTTCAATCTCGTTACCGGCAAGTCTCTTTACTTATTCCGTAATGTATCATCCCGTAACTAACTCATTAGTCACATTGCTTGCAAGGCTTATAGTGATGTGCATTACCGAGAGGGCCCAGAGATATCTCTCCGACAATCGGAGTGACAAATCTTAATCTCGATCTATGCCAACTCAACAAACACCATCGGAGACACCTGTAGAGCATCTTTATAATCACCCAGTTACGTTGTGACGTTTGATAGCACACTAAGTGTTCCTCCGGTATTCGGGAGTTACATAATCTCATAGCCATAGGAACATGTATAAGTCATGAAGAAAGCAATAGCAATAAACTAAACGATCATAGTGCTAAGCTAACAGATGGGTCTTGTCCATCACATCATTCTCTAATGATGTGATCCCGTTCATCAAATGACAACACATGTCTATGGCTACGAAACTTAATCATCTTTGATCAACGAGCTAGTCTAGTAGAGGCATACTAGGGACACTCTGTTTGTCTATGTGTTCTAGCATGAATAATAAACATTTATCATGATATAAGGAAATATAGATAACAACTTTATTATTGCCTCTAGGGCATATTTCCTTCAGGTGGCGCCCCCTCTGCCCCAACGCCCCCCTCCTGCCCGGTGCTAGTGGTTCATCTCGGTGGTCCTCGGTGTGTGGCATGCCAGCATCCCCCTTCGCCCCCAACCTTGCAGGTGCGGCTTCGGCCCCAGAAACCATGAACCTGGGCTTTCCTCCGGTGTCCATGGCTGTCTAGAGCAGCTCCAGATCCGGAGCTCCCTGCGTTCGAGCTGCATATTCTTCCAGCTCCTCCGGCTTGTCGGCATCTCTGCAGCTCCGCAATCACCCCTGCAAGCGTCCTTGGTTGGCTGGCATCCACCTTGGTGCGGCTAAGTCTCCGGCGTGTTCCTCAAGCTGCATCCCCTTCCGGCTCCTCGGCTAGCCGGGTGTCCCTGCGCCTCCGGTCCTGGCGGCCCGGATCTACGCTCCTTTTCCAGATCCTGGCTCGTTTGGGTCTTCGGCCACTGTCGCACTCCCTTGCATCCTCGACTGCCTACCCCACTCACCTCTTTGCTCCACCGCCCCTCTGCCTGCTCCGTAGCTCTTTCTTCCGGCAGCGCCTGATGCGACGGCTGGCGTTGCTCCCCTTCCTACGATGGCAGCCCAACCTCCGACTCGACTTCCTCTTCTTCGATTTGCTCCGACAGCTTGGGATTGTTCAGACTTGGGCAGGGTGAAATCCTTGCTTGACCTTTTGACGCCGCCAGGGGCTACACCCACAGGTGTCGTCCCCTTCTTGGTGGCGCCGCCATGGTTGCTATCTGTGCCCCTCTTCGAGCATCAGGGGAAACCCTAGGTCCGGTTTTGCGGATCGAACGGTGAAAGCGCCCCGACGTCGTTCTCCTTCGTGAAGGCGCCATCTTGTTTTGCTCGCGGTGACCTCGGCGGTAGATTCGAAGATGTCGGCCATCTTGTTGGTTTGGTTTGGGCTGCGTCCCACGGTGGCGAGTTTAGCCGCATTTTTTCCTCTTTGGGCTGAGCATCCCATGTCCCTCTGCTTCGGTCACCATGTTAACGTCTCCTGCGTTTGTGTCATGCGTCACCCCCCCCCCTCCCCCCGTACTCACTCTTAACTTCTTCTATCAATGGAATGATACGCAAGCTTTGCATATTTGCGAAAACAAAAAAAAATCACAATGGCAAAGAGCCCACACATCATACCAAAAGGTCGTCATGTATCCATTGTGAACCTCAAATCGCGTTCCTAAAAGTAGCAAATGTTGCACTTTCCTGACTTTCCCGACGGCCTTGGCAAACTGGGATCTGCAGGAATTAGGAGCTACCTCCCATCGCAAATTTGAATCAAAGCCCTTGGCTCTGGAGTAATTTGCACGCCCATTTCTCCATGAGGCAACAGTTTGTCACCTTCGTATTAATGACCCATACACCTAGGCTTAAAAAATGAACACCCCCCGGTGCGGCTAAGACTCCGGCGTGTTCCTCGAGCTGCGTCCCCTCCCGGCTCCTCGGCTCGTCGGGTGTCCCTGCGCCTCCGGTCCTGGCGGCTCGGATCTGCGCTCCTTTTCCAGATCCTGTCTCGTCCGGGTCTTCGGCCATCGTCGGACCCCCCCTGCATCCTCGGCTACCTAACACGCTCACCTTTTTGCTCCGTCCGCCCCTCCGCCTGCTCTGTAGCTCTTTCTTCCGGCAGCACCTGATGCGACGGCTGGTGTTGCTCCCCTTCCTGCGATGGCAGTCCGGCCTCCGACTTGACTTCCTCTTCTTCGACTTGCTCCGACAGCTTGGGATTGTTCAAACTTGGCCAGGGTGAAATCCTTATTCGACCTTTTGACGCTGCCAGCGGCGACACCCACGGGTACGGTCCCCTTCTTGTTGGCTCTGCCATGGCTGCTATTTGTGCCCCTCTTCGAGCATCAGGGAAACCCTAGGTCCGGTTTTGCGGATCGGACGGTGACAGCGCCCCGGCCTCGTTCTCCTTCGTGAAGGCGCCATCTTGTTTTGCTCGCGGTGTCCTCGGCGGTAGATTCGAAGATGTCGGTCGTCTTGTTGGTTTGGTTTGGGCTGCGTCCCACGGTGGCGAGTTTAGCCGTGTTTTTTCCTCTTTGGGCTGAGCATCCCATGTCCCTCTACTCTGGTCACCATGTTAACGCCTCCTGCGTTTGTGCCATGCGTCGTACCCCCGGTACTCACTCTTAACTTCTTCTATCAATGAAATGATACGCAAACTTTGCGTATTCGCGAAAACAAAAAATCCACAATGGCAAAGAGCCCACACATCATACCAAAAGGTCGTCATGTATCCATTGTGAACCTCAAATCGTGTTCCTAGAAGAAGCAAATGTTGCACTTTCCTGACTTTCCCGGCGGCCTTGGCAAGCTGGGATCTGCAGGAATTAGGAGCTACCTCCCGTCTCCCATCGGAAATTTGAATCAAAGCCCTTGCCTCTGGAGTAATTTGCACACCCATTTCTCCATCAGGCAACAGTTTGTTACCTTCGTATTAATGAACCATACACCTAGGCTTAAAAAATGACACCCCCCCCCCCTCCTTAGGGGCAAATCACCTGTCGCCACACAATATGATATTTTTGCTTGCCATGTTTCTTTTGCCAAAACAATGACTACTAGTATAGTGACTAATCAATGCAAGCTATACCATCTTCTGAAATTTAAACCATGCATCAATAAAATGCTAAAACACATTCCACGTGTATAATGAATTAATGATTGAGCAGTTGGACCAATCATATCTGTTCTGAAACTACGGGAAGTCTATGCCATGTCGCCAGCGTCCTCTAGCCTCCTTTCAAGGTTGCAATTTGAGAAGCTATGCACCAACCTCTCTGGCAGTCCCTCTTGGAAACAACATGGAACACATCCTCGAACCTTTCTGAGCTCGCCTCGGATAAATTAGCCCAGGGCTGCAGGCATAATCGATCACTATTAAAACACCAAGCTAGCTTTGTTTCACGCTCATATTTCCAGCAACTTTCCCAGCCTCTTTCCACTCGGTCTGCGCCTGAACGTTGTACTGCTTTTGCAGCTCCCGGAGCCTCTCAAGGAGTTCTTGGAACGAAGGGCGGAGTTGTGGGTCACTGCTTACAAAAATGGATATTCATTTCATGCGATCGGGAATAGGTTTGCTTAGTACTAGTGTGCAGAATGGTATTATGTACCTGTCCCAGCAACTCTGGATCATCGATGCCCACTGAGGATCCACATCCCTTGGAATTTCCAGTCTGTAATCCATAAAGCCTACGGCTCCGATGACCTGCAACATAGGGGCCACAAAGCTTGTGTTGTTACGTTAAAGAAAAGCTAAAAAGAAACTGAGTTTTCTTAAACTGCAACAGTGTGATTTCGCTTCTTGGAAACGATTCACCATTCACAAGTAAGCTAGCAATTTTCAAGAATTCTTTTTGGCTCTAAGACGCCACAAAAAAGGATCAACAGAAAAATCATCTCCATATCTATCACGCGCCACACTGAAGGGAGAATGGATGAACTATGAAGCAAAGAAACATTAAAGTTTGTTACTACAACTGGCTGTATCCAAGTAGATTACGTTGCGGAATTTGGCTGCCAACTTGCCACCAAATGTTGATAAAATAAATCAGATTAACAGCTAACCAATATGCATAGCAAAAATGTACCTGCATTGTATTGTGAGTATCCCAGGGAATCCTCTGAGTAACAAGCTCCCACAGGACCACTCCATAACTGAATACATCAGACCTATACTTAATAAAAAGGAAGAAACTGTTAATAATCCGTAGGTAACAAAAACATCGGTTGTTCAAGAATTTCCAACGCTGGGCTTACTTTTCATTTGAAGGTTCACTCCGTAGCATCTCTGGAGCCATCCACTGTGGCTGGATGTCGAAACCAAGTTATCAGGTACTAGGTTAAAGTTTATGACAATTTTGTCAGTCTGAAGAATCCATGTCAAAAGTTAAGTTCGCTTATACTTACTGTCCCCTTTCCAGTTTTTGTTGTCAGAAATGTTTCGAGTTTCAGACGTGAAAGGCCAAAGTCTGCAACCTGATAGAACCAAGTGAGATGAGACAACATAAAGTATGGATAACAAAGTTTCACACTTACCTTTACATTCCAATTCTTATCGACCAGAAGGTTTGGCGATTTCAAATCACGGTGCACAACAGTGGGGATGGAATTGTGAAGATAGTTCATGCCCCTTGCCTGCAACAATATTAATTCTTCTTCTAAGAATCCACATGGAAAAATGTGTACTCGACAAAGAAAATATTAACTTCTATCTCGACGAGTTAAAAGGGTTAAGGTAACAATATTGCACATCATAATCACATGAATCATGATTGAATTTGGCTGATATAATCTTCAGTTATGATGTAGTAACATAATGTGTGATATAATATATGCACAAGACACCATGTTAGATGGAAGGTACATGATATCATCTATTTTCTGGATCATTCTTCTATACGCTGAAGCTACAAATATGGCTTAGCTTACATGCAGTTCAATTTCGCTTTTAGGCAATTGCAAAAATAATACTGTATCTATTCAAAATATCTCTTGAGATCTTCAAGTGAAGAATGTTCATCCAGTTCTGCTACAACATGTTCATTTCTCAAAAAGTTCCATGTCTGATTCCTTAACCTGCTGCTAAAGGAAAATGCACTCACAATGTCTATGGCCATGTTAACTCTTCGTCTTGGATCCAGCTTGCCAATGTTAGTTCGGAGCAACCGAAACAAACTCCCCCTGCATTACAAGACTCAAAAGTGTTATACAGAACAAATAAAACAAAATGATCTCTTGTGAGATTCTAAATTCTTACTAGTATCTAGAAGAAACACATGTAGGAAGATATACAGAATACCGTGGGAGAAATTCAGTAACAATACAAAGTCGTTGCTGCGACAGAACTGCACCCATGAAAAGTATGATATTGGGATGTCGCAGTTTCTTCATCAATGAGACCTACACATTTGAAGGATACAAATATAGTCATGGCCGAAAAATATGGAAAAGGGATCACATGATTTAAAAAGCTGTCAATGTAGTGCTAATTGACCAACAAAAAAATCAACAAAAGTGAAGATTTTTCAACACCATATCTTTTCTTCATATTTATCCACATGGTTATATTAACATAGGATAGCAAAAATGGTACTAACTGTAGGTTCTTTGAACATCACAGAGTGTTGGAGTCAAATCAAAATCTTGCACTTGGTTTCTGTAGTGGAGTGTCTGTATCAATAATACAGTAGATATCATGTAGTTTCATTGCCACTATACCCAAATTCTAGAGCAATTGTATGTAGATATAGATGTTCACCTCTTGTCTGAAGGTATTTATCATTTCTTCTGAATATTCCTGCTTGGAGAATACTTTAGCTGCCACGTCCTACAGGAACATGGATAGATACTGATTTACTGAAAGATTATGGTTAAGATGTAAAACTCCATTCATAATCATGCAACAGAAATGATATACCAACTTACCGAGCCATGCCACAGAGCATGATACACTGTTCCGCAACAACCTGTATGCATCGAACATCAAATTACGGAAAAAGGACAATACCAGATTGCATACAATAGTCGAAGAATAGAGATATCATTGCTAATTATGTGTTATTATCTACATGGACTTTCAGGAGTAAAAAGTACATACATAACCATACGAACAAAAATGCCATCACTGTTGTAGAAGCATATAACTTGCAACTTAGAATCTCGGAATAGACATTCATGCCACCAGTAGTACTTAAAATCATGAAATTAACTGACCTATTATGATTATTGAGGATTAGAAGAAGAATAATTGATCTGGATTATGCCAACGATAAGAGGAGAATACACAAGCTTTTATTAAGAAGCATGAAGAGCGAGGAATTACTAACAAACAACGAACAACTCAAGTACATGCCTAATACTGAATTGTTTGAAAACATGTTAGCAAGAGATCTGAGTGCCTACAGATTAAGTAATTGCAAAGGGAAAATTAAGTAACTACCTTGACCAACTTGTTCTCCAATTACAAGGTCTTCCCAGAGAATCTCATAATCTAAGCAGTCTGCTTCATAATCTACTATCTGAATATCGCTGCTGTTAGTAGTCGCCGTAGTGCTGCTAATGCTACTCACGCTGTTCTTGTTGAAATCCCACCAGGAACCTGAGACCTCATATTTGCTGGCCCAAGTGTATTCGCTGTTTTGGCAGTCTGGAATTATGATAGGCTCTAGAACTGTAACTCTCTGATGACTCTCTTCATTCTCTTGCTTATCATGCAACTGTGTTGAGTTCATGTTATTCTTTCCAGAATCCCCATCAACTTCATGTCGTTTCCAAGGCCATGATATGCCCTTCTTGGCCAATAATGCCTCAGCCTTTGAATTAAAGATCTTGTGAAATCCTACTTTTCCCTCTCCTGAATCATCACTACTTGTTTTGCACAACTTGCCAGTGGATTTCTCTTTGGCCACAAAGGCACGATGCACTACATCCCCACTTGGGGTGTTTTCTTCACTTGATGCCAGCTCAACCTGGCACGATCCACTACCATACTGTTTATCGCTATTCTGGCCTGTCCATATCCGAGAACGAACTCTACTTGTAACACTGGTAACCTGTGTTGTTATTCCAATATCAAGAAAAGAATACACTAAGAAATAAATGAAGAATAAGTACCAGAAAGAGTAAGTTCCATTTGAAATTGAACAGCAATAGAACTTACCAAAGTTACTATCTTGGAGGTAGTAGCAGATTGAAGAGGTTGCTGGGAATGAAGACAACCTATGTTCAGCGAACCACTTTTAGGCCGGCTGTTAGCATGAAACTTGGGCTTTGCTGTACTCGGAATTGGATAGGATTCCGCAGAGCCTGAGGGACTAAATATGTCCTCTAATGTCCGTATATCATGCGACAGACCAATGAGGCCCACCAAGCTACCATCGTCATCGTATAAAGGAGTGTTATGGATAAACATAAAAAACCTCTCTCCTGACTTTTTCTTAACAGGAAACTTCCCTCTCCAACACTTGCCTGTAAATATAGTCTGGATGAGGTTGTTTGCTGCATCAAAGTCACTAGGATGAACAATTAATTCAACGGCATTCCGACCAACTGCTTCTGATGCAGAATAGCCATACATATGCTCAGCATACCGGTTCCTAGATTACAGAACAAAAAGGAAGAATTTGGTAAACCATGCATTATACATAGAATCGACCAGAGACAATTGCGAGTAGGAATGCCTATTGCATAAACAATTGGATATATACTCATTACATGCATCAAAATATGCTACGTATTTTAATTAAAAAAAGCTCCACATCTGAACTTCAATCTATGCATAACATGGCGCCGAATAAATAGAACAAAAATATAAGAATAGCACTGTTGCAGCATTTCGTCAAGCACCTGGTGAACAATGAGCATACACGACAGAGCCAATATAAGCAAGGGATCTCACCAGTACAGGAGCTTCCCGTCGGGGGCAATGATGTGCACGGCCAGCCCCAGCGACTGCAGTATCCAGTGGCAGTGACTGTCGGAGAACCTGCCGTGGGCGACGACCTGCCGCGACGACAAGGGCTGCGGCGGCAGCGCGCGGAAAGCTCTCCCCACGGCCACGGACTGCGCGTCGCGGCGGTCCAGCATGAGCTTGCCTATCTCCCGCTTGAGCTCGGCCTGACCCTCCTCCAGCAGCCGTATCTTCTTGAGCAGCTCATCCACTTCCATCGCTGGAGACGATCAATGCCACAGTTGGATAGGATGGCAATGGCCCGGCCTTTTCACTGGAGATGTCGCGATTAAAAAGTCGACCGGAAGGAAAGATCCAGCCAGACAAACGGCTTTGCTCATGCCTGACATAATCAGTGGGCGAGATGGGTGAGGTGCAGCTCTGCTGTACTCCTCACTGTTCCGCCTGGCTGCCTCCTCTTCGTCTTGGGAAGCCCAAACTGAAACTCTTCTCCTCTTCTGTTCCAAGTTTTCCTCCCATTCGCGGCCATGCTTTCGCGCGCTTTGTCCTCCTCTCTCCACGCCTCCTTCAAATCAGCTAGCTTCCGGCCGGTGCCACAACTCATTCCTGTTGCCAGCCATCTCTTTTTAAAACTTTTTAAAACACTGATTACGATGCACGCGTACACTCACACCACCACAAATACAACGTATGAAAGACCGGGTCAAAGTTGCGAAGCTTGAAGATTAAAATGAAGTGACCGCATGCATCTGGCTATCACGAAAATATCGTCTTTCGTTGAAACAATGATCCGCATCACCGAGACAACAAAACGTCAAATCCGAGATTTGATCTTATGGGTTGGGATAGTGAAAAAGGCTTCCGTCCCGTTTTATAAATAAAACCATAACCGATACATATAAAGCATACGAACGCACAACTATACAAGAGAAGCACCAATAGCTAAACAGGAAGCCAAAAGAAGGGACTAAGCTAATCTGAGAAAGAAAGCACAAGAACTAAGATAGCTAGTTCTTGACAATAAGCACAAATCTTCCCGAAGCGCCTTGACAGATCCCACCAAGCAGGCCACTGTAAGGCACACTTCAATCGACGGGTCAATAGTGTTGAGATATGTATTTAGCACATGTATTCTTGTACTCCAAGTCTCCTTCTTTTGTATAGTTGAGGATATGACTTGCCCTATGTACTATATATACTTGTGCATATGCATCCATCAATACATTGAGAGTTGCATCCTATTCCTCTACATGGTATCAGCCTAAAACCTCGATCCCAGCCCTAGCCGCGCCGCGGCCGCCTCTCCTGGCCACCGCCGCTCCCGCTGATCCGCGCCGCCGCCTCCCCGGCCGCCGCGCCGCCTGCCTCCCCCACCACACCCCTCCCCCCACCGCGCCTCCTCCCTTCCAACCCTCCCCGCCGCGCCCCGCTGCTCCAGCCCGAGCCGCCTCCTTCCCAAAACCCTAAAACCCTACCGAACCCATCCCTCGCCGCCATCTCCCCTTGCTGCCATGTCGGCCCTCGGGACCTCCTCTTCCTCCGGCGCCCCCTAGCAACCTGTTTGACTCTTCCTACGGCTCCGAACCCGATGATCCCCAAGCTGCTGACATCCGCAACATCCACCTCTCCGATCACGTCCCCATCATCCTCTCCCACACCTCCGCAAACTACTATGCCTGGAAAACCTACTTCAATCTCCTCTTCCGTGAGTATAACCTTCGTGATCATGTGGACGGTCTCGCCAACTTCTTCGCCGGCAACAACGACGCCAACTGGCTCGCCATCGACGCCACCCTCATCCGGTGGTTCTTCCTCACCGTCTCTCCGGACATCTTCCACACCGTCGTTCGCGATGGGGACGATGCCTACATGGTGTGGACCAAGATCAATGGCCTCTTCACCGACAACAAGCTTCAACGGATTGTTTTCTTGCAGCAGGAATTTTTTGGGTGTCATCAAAATGACTCCACCATCGACGCCTACTGTCTCCGGCTCAAGACCCTCTCCGACGAGCTCAACGACATCGGGTTCAAGGTGGGCGACGAGCTTCTCCTCTCGACGCTCACCCCCGGCCTCAACGAGGACTTCGGCAACGCCGCCTCCAACCTCACCCTCATGGCCAACCCTACTTACGAGCGGGCGGTGGCCTATCTTCGTCTTGAGGAGCGGCGGATGAAGCACCTCCGCACCCGTGCCGTCCACACCGCTCTCATTGCCGGCCTCTCCCACGACGCCTCTACACCACCCTCGGTGCCTCGCCCTCCGGCTGTCCCGCAGCCCACGCCGATGCCTCAGCCGCTCCAACCACCGTGCAACGGTGGGAACGGCGGCAACCGTCGCCGTGGTCGTGGTGGTCAACGCCAAGGAGGAGGGAAAGGTGGCGGCGGCGGTCCACCTCCCCAGCAGCATCCCCCGCCACCCTAGGCTGGCGGCTACAATCCCTGGATAGGGGTCGTGCACGCATACAGCATGCCGGTGCCACGGCCCCCCTCCCCGGGCATCCTAGGCCCCCGCCTGAGCACGCACCAGTCGCTCCTGGCCGCGCCTCTCGGCGCCTACAACGGAGCTCCCGCCCCTCCTGTCGCGCCCTCCTACGGTGCGTACGGCGCCCCCTACTACGGCCCAACACTCCTAGCAGCGCTGCAGTAGCCGCCACCCTACTCTGGTGGTGGTGGTGATTGGATTATGGACTCCGGTGCCACCGCTCATATGTCCGCTCATCCGGGTAACCTCTCCTCCGTCCATCCCACTTCCACTCCCTCCCGCATCATCATCGGCAACGGTGTTGGTCTTCCCATCTCTCATGTCGGTTCTGCACCCTTTCCCTCTAACTCTAGACCTCTCTCTCTTAATAATGTCATTGTTTCTCCTCATCTCATTCAGAACTTAGTTTTCGTTCGTAATCTTTCTCGTGATAATTCTGTAACTATGGAATTTGACGAAGTTGGCTTTTCTGTTAAGGACGCTCGCACCAGGATGATTCTTCACCGCTGTGACAGTCCCGACGACCTCTACTCAATTCAGTCGTCGTCATCTCCGAGTGGTCCTCGAGCTCTTTCCGCCGGCGTCGATCTTTGGCATGCTCGTCTCGGGCATCCTAGCACTTCCTCACTTCATCAAATAATGAGAAGATTTTCTTTTTCATGTAATAAAACGGCCGCTCACTCCTGTGAAGCCTGCCGGTTAGGCAAACATGTTCGCCTTCCTTTTAGTTCCTCTTCCACAGTTGCTTCCTTTCTGTTTGAGTTAATTCACATCGATGTATGGACATCTCCAGTACCCAGTAATTCTGGCTATCTTTACTATCTTGTTATACTGGATGGTTACTCTCACTTTGTGTGGACATTTCCTCTTCGTAGGAAATCCGATGTTGCCGCCACCCTCATTGCATTTTATGCTTATGTCTCCACACAGTTCGGGCGACCCATACTCGCACTTCAGACCGACACTCCAACGTATCTATAATTTTTGATTGCTCCATGCTATATTATCTACTGTTTTGGACTATATTGGGCTTTATTTTCCACTTTTATATTATTTTTGGGACTAACCTATTAACCGGAGGCCCAGCCCAGAATTGTTGTTTTTTGCCTATTTCAGTGTTTCGAAGAAACGGAATATCAAACGGAGTCCAAACGGAATGAAACCTTAGGAAACGTGATTTTCTCACCGAACGTGATGCATGAGACTTGGACCCTACGCCAAGGCATCAGAGAGGCGGTCACGAGGGTGGGGGCACCCCCCTAGGGCGCGCCCCCTGCCTCGTGGGCCTCTCGGTGCTCCACCGGCGTACTCCTTCCTCCTATATATACCTACGTACCCCCAAACAAACAGAGAAGTAGCCAAAAACCTAATTCCACCGCCACAACTTTCTGTATCCACGAGATCCCATCTTGGGGCCTGTTCCGGAGCTCCGCCGGAGAGGGCCGTCATCACGGAGGGCTTCTACATCATCATAGCCCCTCCGATGAAGTGTGAGTAGTTTACCTCAGACCTTCGAGTCCATAGTTAATAGCTAGATGGCTTCTTCTATCTCTTTGAATCTCAATACAAACTTCTCCCCCTCTCTTGTGGAGATCTATTCGATGTAATCTTCTTTTTGCGGTGTGTTTGTTGAGACCGATGAATTGTGGGTTTATGATCAAGTCTATCTATGAATAATATTTGAATCTTCTCTGAATTCTATTTTGTATGATTGATTATCTTTGCAAGTCTCTTCAAATTATCCGTTTGGTTTGGCCAACTAGATTGGTAGTTCTTGCCATGGGAGAAGTGCTTAGCTTTGGGTTCGATCTTGCGGTGTCCTTACCCAGTGACAGAAGGGGCAGCAAGGCACGTATTGTATCGTTGCCATCGAGGATAACAAGATGGGGTTTATTTCATATTGCATGAATTTATCTCTCTACATCATGTCATCTTGCTTAAGGCGTTACTCTGTTTTTAACTTAATACTTTAGATGCATGCTGAATAGCGGTCGATGAGTGGAGTAATAGTAGTAGATGCAGAATCGTTTCGATCTACTTGTCACGGACGTGATGCCTATATACATGATCATGCCTAGATATTCTCATAACTATGCTCAATTCTGTCAATTGCTCAACAGTAATTTGTTCACCCACCGTAGAATACGTATGCTCTTGAGAGAAGCCACTAGTGAAACCTATGGCCCCCAGGTCTATTCTCATCATATCAATCTCCATCACTTTAATCTTGCTTTGCTTTTTTACTTTGCCTTTACTTTTTACTTTGCATCTTTATACCAAAAATACCAAAAATATTATATCTATCAGATCTCACTCTCGTAAGTGACCGTGAAGGGATTGACAACCCCTAATCGTGTTGGTTGCGAGTAGCTATCGCTTTGTGCAGGTACGAGGGACTTGAGCGTGGCCTCCTACTAGATTGATACCTTGGTTCTCAAAAACTGAGGGAAATACTTACGCTACTTTGCTGCATCATCTCTTCCTCTTCGGGGAAAACCAACACAAGCTCAAGAGGTAGCACCTCACCATTCGCCATCTTCTTTCCTCCCACGGCACCGTGTTTCGTCTCATGTGTCCATACACCTCCCAGCAGAATGGCCGTGCCGAGCGCATCCTTCGCACCCTCAATGAGTGTGTGCGTACCCTCCTTTTCCATGCCTACATGCCCTCTCGGTTTGGCCAGACGCCCTCGCCACCGCCACCCTACTTCTTAACCTCCGACCATGTCGTCCGCGCTGGAACTATGCGCCTCACCATCTCTTATATGGCAGTC